AGTAAGTCTCTTCTACCTATGAGCCAGTAAAAATCAAAATCAAGCTAGTTGCTTCCTAGATACAATGGGATACAGGTATTGGGTAAATACAGCTTTTCCAAATGAGAGAAATTGGCCAAAACAAAAGGGTTACAGGGCCCATGCAAGTCTGAAATCCAGCGGGGCAGTCAAATTCTAAAGCTCCAAAATGATCATCTTTGACTCCATGTCTCACATCCAGGTCAGGCTGATGCAAGAGATAGGTTCCCATAGTCTTGGTCAGCTCTGCCCCTGTGTCTTTGCAGCTTATAACCCACCTCCTGGCTGCTTTCATGGGCTAGCATTGAGTGTCGGAGGCTTTCCAGGCACACGGTGCAAGCTGTCCGTAGATCTACCATTCTGGGGTCTGGAGGACTGTGGCCCTCTTCTCACAACTCTACTTGGTGGTGCCCAGTAGGGACTCTGTATGGGGGCTCCCACCCTACATTTCCTTTCTGCACTGCCCTAGCAGAGGTTCTGCATGAGGGCCCCACCTCTGCAGCAAACTTTTGCCTGGGCATCCAGGTGCTTCCATACATTTTCTGAAATCTAAGCAGAAGTTCCCAAACTTCAATTCTTGACTTCCAACACCACATGGAAGCTGCCAAAGTTTGGGGCTTCCACCCTCTGAAGCCACAGCCTGAGCTGTATGTTGGCTCCTTTCAGCCACAGCTGGAGCAGTTAGGACACAGGGCATTAAGTCCCTAGGCCCATGAAACCACTTTTTCCTCCTGTGCCTCTGGGCCTGTATGGGAGGGGCCACCGTGAAGGTCTCTGACATAGCCTGGAGACATTTTCCCCAAGGTCTTGGGGATTAACATTGGGCTCTTTGATTCTTATGCAAATTTCTGTAGCCAGCTTGAATTTTTCCCCAGAAAATGTGTTTTTCTTTACTATCACATTATCAGGCTGCAAATTTTCAAAAAAAAATTTTTTTTTTTTTTGAGACAGAGTTTCGCTCTTGTTACCCAGGCTGGAGTGCAATGGTGCGATCTTGGCTCACCGCAACCTCCGCCTCCTGGGTTCAGGCAATTCTCCTGCCTCAGCCAGGACTACAGGCACGCACCACCATGCCCAGCTAATTTTTTGTATTTTTAGTAGAGACGGGGTTTCACCATGTTGGCCAGGATGGTCTCGATCTCTTGACCTCGTGATCCGCCCGCCTCGGCCTCCCAAAGTGCTGGGATTACAGGTGTGAGCCACCGCGCCCGGCCAATTTTCAAAATTTTTATGCTTTGCTTCCCTTATGCAATTGAATGCTTTTAACACCAGCCATTGGATGCTTTGCTGCTTAGAAATTTCTTCCACCAGATACCCTTAATCATCTTTCCCAAGTTCAAAGCTCCACAAATCTCTGTGGCAGGGGCAAAATGCTGCCAACTCTTTGCTAAAACATATCAAAAGTCACCTTTTCTCTAGTTTCCAACAAGCTCCTCATCTCCATCTGAGACCACCTCAGCCTGGATCTTATTGTCCAGATGCTATCAGCATTTTGGCCAAAGCCATTCAACAAGTCTCTAGGAAGTTCCGCACTTTCCCACCTTCTCCTGTCTTCTTCTGTTCCAGCCTCTGCCTGACACCAAGTTCCAAAGTTGCTTCCACATTTTCAGGTACCTGAATTCTGGGAGATACAATTCAAGTTGAGATTTGGGTGGGGACACAGCCAAACCATATGAAACCTATTAGAAAAAAATAGAAAGTTTCACCCTCCAACCCGGTCCCTCTCTCTTCCTGGGAGTTGGGATTGATTTTGTCCGTTTTCCCATAACCGTAGATCAAGGAGCCCTTTCCTTGTGGGTGCATGAGTTTACAGGCCTGCCGCACAGTGGCGTGGTGCTGTGGTGTGGGCCTTCTTCCACGGTGTCCTAGGCAACAGACTGTGAGGTGGTTTCCAGTTTTGGGCTATTGAAGCAGGACTGGAGCAAGCACCTGTGTGCATGTGGGAGTGTCTTGTCAAGTCAAACAATAAGGACATTTTAAATGTTGATAGAAGGCAGCCATGGTGGCATGCACCTGTAATCCTAGCTACTTGGGAGGCTGAGGCAGGAGGATTGCTTGAGCCCAGGAGTTTGAGGCTGCACTCCAGCCTGAACAACAAAATGAGACCCCACCTCAGAAAATAAAATAAAATAAAAATTTGATATAAATTGGTTTAGGGCCAATCCTCTCTTATCCCCAAGCCTGGCGCATGAGAGAGACTCAAATATATTTTCAAAAGGTGAAAGGAACTGCCCTGTTACCCTCCTAGGAAGGGCACACCCATTACATGCCCATCAGCTGGCATATAGGAGTGCCCACCTCCCTCTGCCTCTGTCACCCTGCTACAGTATGTGGCATGGTGTGACTTCAGGCAAGTGGTCTCTCTTCCCAGGCCTCAGTTTCCCCTTCTGCAGAATGGAGAGACTGCACCTACCCAGCCTGCCTACTTCTTAGAAGCAGTAAAAGCATCAAGCGAGAGCAGGTGGTGTGACCAGTGAGCTCTGAGCATGAGGAGCCACTTTTGCTGGGATTGGCTGCGGAATCGGGCTTTCCCCAAGTGGTTTTGGATCACTTGAGGTCAGGAGTTCGAGACCAGCTTGGCCAACATGGCAAAACCCTGTCTCTACTAAAAATACAAAAATTGGCTGGGCGGCTCAAGGAGAGTTTGGCTTTCTCCTTGAGGCCGGGACAAATGTGTGGTCTAGAAAGATAAAGAGAAAGACAGCACCTGTCCTATGAACCATCCTGGCTCACTCGGGCACAAACCCTCTGTCCTGGTTTCCTGTGGCTGCTGTAACAAATTACTACAAACTGGGGGTTGAGGGCAGGGGTGTCAACCACAGAAACTCACCGGTTCCGGAAACCAGAAAGCCAAAATCAAGGTGTTGGCAGGATTGGCCCCTGGAGGCTTTGGGATGGGGAGATCTGTCCCAGGCCTCCGTCCCAGCCTCCGGTGTTGCTGGCAGTCTTTGGCTTGTGGACATATCACTCTGACCTCTGTGACTTTCATGTGACCTTACCTTCTGCATGTTCTTTTCTCTTTTTTTTCAAGACCAAGTCTCAATTTGTCCCCCAGGCTGGAGTACAATGGCGCGATCTTGGCTCACTGCAGCCTCCTCCTCCCAGGTTCAAGTGATTCTCCTGCCTCAGCCTCCCAAGTAGCTGGGATTACAGGCACTTGCCACATTCTGGCCTCATTTCTGAGTTTGGTTTTGTTTAGTTTCGGGTCTTACTGTGTCACCCAGGCTGGAGTGCACTGGCATGATCTTGGCTCACTGCAGCCTCTCTGGTTCAAGCGATTCTTCTGCCTCAGCCTCCTGAGTAGCTGGGATTACAGGCGCCTACCACCATGCCCGGCTAATTTTTGTATTTTTAGTAGAGACCGGGTTTCACCATGTTTAGCCAGGCTGGTCTCAAACTCTCGACCTCAGGTGATCTGCCCGCCTCAGCCTCCGAAAGTGCTGGGATTACAGATATGAGCCACCATGCCCGGCCAATTTTTGTATTTTTAGTAGAGACAGGGTTGTGCCATGTTGGCCAAGCCGATCTGAAGCCCCTGACCTCACGTGATCCACCTGCCTTGGCCTCCAAAAATGCTGGGATTACAGGCGTGAGCCATCACTCCCAGCCCCTTTTCTCTTTTCATAAGGATACCCCTTTTCTCTCTTTATAAGGACAACTTCATCTTAAGATCTTTGGTTACATCTGCAAAGACCTGCATTCCAAATAAGGTCACATTCTAAGGTTCCAGGGGACAGGAATTAGAGGGGGGTGCACAATTCCACCCACTCTGCCCTCTGAGCAAGTGGCTCTCCAGTCGCTGGCTGCCTGGCTTTCTGTGAACTGTGTATTCTAGAACATAGTCTCCAGGTCAAGGAGCTCAGCAGCAGATCCTGCTTTTCCAGTTCCCCACAATGTGTGACCTTGGACAAGTCCCCCCTCACCCGGATGGCCTTAACCTGAGAGGGTTGTTAGGAGCTGAAATGTGGTAGCGTGTGGAAGGAAGTTAGCAGCACGCTAAGATGACAGGAGCCCCGATAGAATAAGCAACTGTAGTAATACATGTTGCTGCCACTGTGTCTTGGAGTTTGGGGATGAGGTTCGTAGTTAATATGCAAATCAAGCCCCCAAAAATAGCTCTGGGAGGGAACAGGGAAATGGAAACTGAAGGGACATCATGCCATGGGAATTGGGAGTCGGCTGACTTTCTTAAAAAGTACCTTTTTCTGCTATTGTTGGATAACCATGAACTAGGGACTTTCCCCCTCCCACAGATGGCAGCTTCTGAGCCTATAAAAACAGGCATCCACAAAAACGCTTTTTTCTCCTTCACTTCTAGGTCTGTCTTTTTCACTTTCCCCTTCTCCCCCAGGTGGTAGTTTTTCTGTGTAATACCTATAAGAGAGGTCAGCAATGTTCAACTTGCAGGGGCAGTGCCTGAGATTTTGTAAATTCATTTATTAAGCATTTCTTTGTTTTTCTTTCTCTCTTTTTTTTTTTTTTGATATGGAATCTCACCCTGTCACCCAGGCTGGCTGGAGTGCAGTGGTACGATCTCAGCTCACTGCAGCCTCAGCCTCCCGGGTAGCTGGGATTACAGGCACACGCCACCACGCCCGGCTAATTTTTGTATTTTTAGTAGAGATAGGGTTTCACCACATTGGCCAGGCTGGTCTCAAACTCCTGACCTCAGGTGATTGTTAAAAACGCACGCTTTGAATGAAGAGACCCCCTCCAAACAGGCTTTGTGTAAGCAACATGGCTGTTAATTCACCTGGGTGCAGGTGGGCCAAGGCCGAAAAGGGTGTTAACGAAGAACAGTGGGATAGGAGTTGGTTTCGTAGGTTTAGGGTGGGCAGTGTGGAAAGTTACAGAGTAAGATCAGTTACAGTGCTGAGGGTAGGGGCAAGGAGTATACATTACCATAAGTTTAATTAAAATGGTGGGTGGGGTAAGAGGAGTTAAGATGGCGGGGGGCGGAATCTTATGTCCAGGGAAGCTCCGTGGATCACACATAATGGCGAACACAGGCAGGGGTGGAGGGTGATCAGCTGAGGCAGGCAGGACTTTAGACTTTCTGGGTTCAGGCTTGCACATGGAGGCCTGACTGATTCATCTGCCTCAGCCTCCCAAAGTGCTGGGATTACAGGCATGAGCCACCACGCCCAGCCTATTTTCCATTTCTTGAGTCTCTCCCTGTGACTGAGGAAGAATCTCTGCCCTCCCAGCATTCACAGCCAAGTGTGGTGGGGATGGGGTCTCAGTGGTTGTTAAGATGGTATGATGTACATCCCAACCGGGGTGGGGGACAATTAAGGAAGGCCTCCCAAGGAAGGTAAAATCTAGGTGTACGACCTGGAAGATAGATGGGAAGGGGACAGACCACGCGAAGTCCTGGAAGCAAGAAAGTGTGGTCCGCGCTAGAACTGCAAGTTCCATGTGGCTGGAGGGGGGCAGAGGCAGGAATGAGGCTGCGGGGGAGATCAGGGCCCAGAGAAGCCAAGAGAGCTGGGACTTGATCCCGAAGGCAGTCGTGGGTGTGGGGGCTGCTGCTGCACAGCAGGAAAGGAGTCAGGTTGGCATTGGAGAAGGAGGACCCTGGCTGCAGAGTGGAGGGAGCGTCAGGGTAGGTCCTGGTGATGGGGAGGGCACGATGGAGGGCCAGCTGGGTTCAGGAAGTGAAATTGATGGGGTGTGAGGGAGAGGGAGGAGCCAAGGACTGCTTTCTGTTCTTAGCCTGGGCAGCCAGGTGGATGTGACAGCATGCCCTAGGGGATGTGGAAGGAGGAGTGGATTTGGGGAAAAAGGTAAGAAATCAGTTCAATTTGGGTCACAGCAAACCAAGCAGGATCTTGAACATCAGACTGGAGTCTTTAATTTGAACGTGAACAGCACTGAGAACACAGGTATGCTAAGACCCCCAAAGAGAGAGAGTCACCAGCCCGAGGACAGGGTCAGGACTCCTGGCATGGGGCAGGGACATGGTACAGGAGGCTGAGGAGGGCTGCCAGAGATAGGAGGAGAAGCAGATGGCAAAATTGCCAAGCAGAGCAGAACAGCATCAAAGAGTGTGGGACAGTCAGGTAGGCTGGAGTCATGATCACAGGCTTTGATATGGAAAGGTGACCTCAGAGGAGCATCAGGGTACAGTGGGAACCACAGGGATTCTTGCACAGGAGATGGAGCTGTGGGGGTGTCCTGCATCAGCAACTTCACCTATAGACTTTTGGGGCTATAAGTGACAGAAACACAGCTCATTGTCCCTCAAGCCACAAAGTGGCTATATCAGTTCATGTAACTTAACAGTCTGAGGGTTGCAGAGGCAGGCAGTGGGCGGAGAAATGAAATATCTAAGGATGGCGATAAGGCTGGAGGAGAAGAGTTTGGGGGTTTGTTTTCCTTTTTTGAGACCCACTTTGTAGCCCAGGCTGGAGTGCAGTGACGTGATCTCAGCTCACTGTAACTTCTGGTTCAAGCAATTCTCATGCCTCAGCCTCCCGAGTAGCTGGGATTACAGGCGCCTGCCACCATGCATGGCTATTTCTTGTGTTTTTAGTAGAGATGGGGTTTCGCCATGTTGGCCAGGCTGGTCTTGAACTCCTGACCTCAAGTGATCCGCCCATCTCGGCCTCCCAAAGTGCTGGGATTGCAGGTGCGAGCCACCAGGCTCAGACAAGTTTTTGTTGTTAAGGGATAATCAGAGCTGGCACTTCCAGAGCTGGGGGCTACTCCAAGCCAGGCACCAAGGAAGGTGCTCTGTGCACCATGCTGACTCAGTCTTTCCACACATGCCAGAAGCCTGGGGTGCATGGGGAAGCTGCTGAGGCCACCACATTCTCATGATCAACCCTATCTTTGCCCTTTTCTGGAACTTTTCTGCTTCTGGCATGACAGACTCTTGACTGAAAACCAGAAATGTTTTCTGCTCTGCTGAGTGCCCTAGATATTTTCATCCCAAATTACTAAAAGTTGCTTCTTCACTGGTTGCAAGGTTTCAGAAAGAAAAATTTCCTCTTCTATAAAATATAAATGCTGTTTTTGCAAAGTACCTTGAGGTTCCCACCCCGCTGAGAAAGAGGACAGGCTGCTCTTGTCTGCCAGGTGAGTTGTTTCCAAAGGAAAGTATGGGGTCGGGCAGGGCGGCTCATGCCTGTAATCCCAGCACTTTGGGAGGCCAAGGCAGGTCGATCACTTGAGTCCAGGAGTTTGCGACTAGCCTAGGCAACATAGCAAAACGCTGCCTCTACAAAAGAATACAAAAAATTAGCTGAATGTGATGGTGTGTGCCTGTAGTTCCAGCTACTCAGAAGGCTTTTGTGGGAGGATCACTTAATCCCGGGAGGTCAAGGCTACAGAGACCTCCAGCCTGGGTGACAGAGCAAGACCCTGTCTCAAAAAAGGGAATTATGGCCGGTGGCTGCCTGGAGAGCTTCAGTATACCCTTGGCCCTGGCGAGCCCTGGGAGTCCAGAGATGTTTGGTCCAACTGAGACAAGCCCAGAGCCCAGCACAGGAGATGGGGTATCAGCGCTCCCAGCCAACAGGTACATGATGGGCTTCTGCTGAAGTTGAGGTGTCACACGAGACTCTGGGGACAGACTCTGCCTTCATGCAGGGTAAATGCTAGTGAGGAGGAAGACGGACTAAATAAATGGCTGCACAAGCAGTTTCTAGTTAGATCTAGGACAAGGGCTCTTGAAGGAAAAGTGTGAGGAGAGGTTATACATGGGAGGGGAGCTGATTTAGAGTTTAGGGGTCAGGGAGGGCCTCTTTGAGGAAGTGACATTTTAGCTGAAGTTTCAAGCATAAGTAAGAGTGAGCCAAGCTCGGAGTGGGAAGAAGAGCATTCCGGGTTGAGGGAACAGCCCACGTGATGGCTCGGTGGGGAGCATCAGAGGGAGGGAAGGGTGGCTGGAGTGTGACGAGGAAGCTGTGGGAAAGAGAGATGCCAGTCCCCGGAGGGCCATGCACTGCAGGTGCACACACGTTAGACCACTAGCTGTGGTCCCTGGGTCTCTGTTTGTTTTTCCTTTCAGCTTTTTTCTCTCTGTGTGTTTCCAGTTGATGTTTTCTATTGCCCTGTCTTTAAGAGTTCACTGATCTTTTATTTGGTAGTATGTTATCAGCTGTTAAGCCCATCCAGTGATTTTTTCATTTCTTATATGTACTTTTCAGTTCTAGAGTATCCATCTGGATCTTTTTTGTAGCTACCACTTCTCTATTGAGATTCTTATTTCTTCCCTCATCAAGTTCATGTTTTCCTTGAAATCTTTGAATATATTTTTAATATCTGTTTTCAAGTCTTTGTTGGCCAGTTCCATTATCTCTGACCATTTTGAGTCTTCTATTAGCTGATTTTTCTATTAGTTGTGGGCCACATTTTTTAGCTTTATCTGTCTATTAATTTTTACCGTTTGCTAGACAGTATGCATCTACGATGTTGACTTTGTGGTGTTGTCTTTCTAACAGAGTATTAAGTTTTGTTCCAACAGATAGTTAATTTACCTAGGGATCACCTTGTTCTTTTCAAGGCTTTTAAAATTTGTTTTATTTTATTTTAAAACAAAGTCTTGCTCTTGTCCTCCAGGCTGGAGTGCAATGGCATGATCTAGGCTCACTGCAACCTCGCCTGCCAGGTTCAAGTGATCCTCCTGCTTCAGCCTCCCAAGTAGCTGGGCGTAGAGGTGCCTGCCACCACGCCTGGCTAATTTTTGTATTTTTAGTAAAGATGGGGTTCTGCCATGTTGGCCAGGCTGGTCAAGGCTTCTTCTTAAGCTTTGTTGGGATGAGTGCAATGTGGTCCTTCCTGTAAGGCTAGATTAGGTCTCCTTATAAGGCATGATTTTTCTGGGATCCCTGCTGAATGCTTAGGTGTCCAATGAGGTCTCTCTACTCTGCCTGTTGAGAGCTCACATATCTCCCAACCCTGTCCTTTGTAATCTCTGGTAGTTGTTCAGATCACAGCACCCCAAGGGTTTTTTTTTTCCTGAAAGTTGTATTTTTCCCTGCCTCATGAAATCTTGTTTCACACACATGACGTTTAGGACTGAACCAAAGTCCATATTTTTGGATCTCCTCCTCTGCGTAGCTTTTCTATTTCTGATACATTGCCATGCAGATTCCTGAGGGAGGGGAGCCTCAATAGCTCTGAACCATAGCCTTTGCCTTCACAGTCCAGCAAGTACCTTCAGGCACAAAGCTAGGGTGCTTGTGGGATTTGCCTCATTCATTTCTCTAAGGGATCACAGTAAATTTCACATATTTTATCCAGTTTTATAATTCGTCATGTCAAGAGGGATAATCTGCTACTAGTTACTCTATAGCGTAGTAAGGCTAGAAGCAGAAATCTCATTCTTGTGTATGTTTACACTGCTATTTTATACATTCCAAAATAATATATAATATTTTCCATATATTTAACATTTTTACTTAAGTCCTATGGCATTGGTCATATTCTTCCATATCTTTCCTTTATAATCAACATTTTTTAGGAGCTACCCACATTGCTAGATTCATTGTTGCTTAACAAACATTTCAGTATTTTTGAGTGTCTATTAAGTGCAAGGCACTGTTCTAGGTGCTGAGTGTACTTAAATGTAAGCCAGGCACAGTGCCATGTACCTGTAATCCCAGCTACTCGGGAAGCTGAGGCAGAAGTGTTGCTTTAGCCCAGGAGTTCAAGACCAGCCTGGGCAACATAGCAAGACCACATCGCTAAAAAAAAATTTTGTTTTAATTACCAGGCATGGTATAGTGTGCCATAGTACAAACTACCTGGGAGATTGAGGCAGGAGGATTGCTTGAGTCCAGGAATTCAAGACTGCAGTGAGCTATGATCACACTCCTGTGTCTAGCCTGGGTGACAGAGTGAAATCCTGTCTCTTAAATAAAAAAAA